GAAGCGCGCGCGCGCCTATTGTTCGCCTCTGCCGTGCGTTCGCTCTCGGGGTCGACTGTATTTGAAAAGAGTGGGCCTTTTTTCGTCTCACGATCGTGCTCTCGCGTATGCCGTGCTTAGCTTATCTCGAAACTGTGACTGTAGCGATCGTCCGCTCGCAAAGTGCGAGCAAACGCGCGCACGTTTCTCGCGATATGGGGAAGACTCGCTTTTCGTGATATTTTCCTTTGAAAAACGGGAAAGTGTGTGCATGCGACTGAGAAGTCGAACGAGGAACTATCATCTATCTTCGGTTTTACCTCGTTGAGAGGGGGGAGGAGGGGGGAGGGGAGGCGGGGTAGAAAAGGAATAGAAAAAAAAGAAGTAGCGGCAATCGCGGTTGAACAACGAACTCTCGTCCGTCACCGATTAACCTTCCACCGTAATCCGTTAGCGAGTAGCGCGGGCGGGAGAGTCTCTCCCGGCCTCGGCTAGTCGGCTTCGGGTGTTTGACGGGATCCGCGTCCGTCGCCGGATCGGCAACGGCGCGACGGACCAACCGGGCAACGTCGCATTCTTGAGAGAGCCGAGCAGCAGCAGCAGCAGCAGCAGCAGCAGGCGCATTCACCCTTCTTGGCGGGTGCAGCGCGCCTGCGCGATCAGCATGGTGTGATCACTCGACGCGCGACGTTGCGTCGGCACCGTCGGCACCGAGCACCGACACGCGGAACCGCGCGTCCTCTCCCCCCATCTATTCGCTCAAGTTGCGCGCATGCGCAGCGGATTTCTGCCACGTGTGGCGCACCGCCGCGCCGAAATGTCGTCGCCGCCGCCGCCGCCGCCGCCGTCATCGTCGTCGAGTACGCTGCCGCCGCGGAACGCCAATGGCAACTATTCCGGCGCGAATCGTATTTTCGACGCGTCACGCGATTGGTCGGCAACGTTCGGCCGCACGGGTATACCCATAATTTCTTGTTCAGTTCTCGCCTTCTCTCACGGTCCTTCTTTTTCCATTCGGCCACTTCCTCTCCTCGTTTCCTTCACTCCCCCAGCCCACGGCCATCCTTTCTTTTCGTCGGCTTATTTCACGCGTCGCGCCGAGTCCCTTTTCCCCTTTTCCCTTTTCACCTAGATCCAATTTTTGAACGATTATTGCGTTCGCGGACGCCTGTACGCAAAACCGAAACGCACGCTCCCGACGACTTTATGTATTCTCACGGTTACGGAAGGAGCAAGCGGGCTGCGGGTACACATATGACGCTGGTAGAACATGGATCGCGTCTACAATGGTAATATGCGATGTAATTGCATTAATTCGGCAGGTTTAATCTTAATTGGTCTAGAAATGTAATCGCATTTTGCGAATCTCTTGGCGCGTTTCGCATAGAATATTAAACAAAACGTCACATCATGAAGAACGAAATATCCAACGAAAAAAAAATTGACATATGATTTTATTACCGCATCCATTATTTCGATTTGCGTCGTTTTCGAGACACATTTAGCAAATTAGGAAAACTTAATATTATAAAATCCATATCTTTACAGATCGAAATAACCGTAGCCTTTGATTGCGAGAAAATTGGAGGAGGAACCGCCCTACCGTATACGGCCGATGGATGTCGATAATTTCTCGCGGTAATTGTCGCGGGTCGGGGGCGACGACACTCGCTTTTGCCGGGTGCGATCGATGGGAACCTTCGGGATTGAGATACGCACGAGAAAGAGAGATGTCAGGAGCGAGGTCGTTGCGAGCCATGAACATCCATTTATTTGCGACCGCGAGGGTCCGCGATAAGAGTCCGATCATTCAAGAAAATATAACGTTCCATATTTTGGCTCCGTTTAATCCGGAACGTATCAGCGATGGATTTTAATTCGTATAATCTCTCTCCCCTTAGCTAGGACAGGATAAAAACGCCATTACACGGACAACGCTGCGTTTATTTAAGGCAAGCGACAGCAAGAAATTTTCCGCGTAACTTTCCACGATTTGCGCCATAAATCTCAGCCGGAATAACCTGTTTGGATTTAATAACGTTACTAGCCATAGCTCTTATACTCGGCCTTTTAAATCGTGACGTCATTGTGGCAATATGAGCATTGTTAAACATAATTTTTCGTCGATATTTCGGTACTTTTGTCTCTTGATTGAGACGATGCGTCGCTTGTCATGGAATTCACGCTTAGCGGAGTAGATAATGCTCTCTTTTTTGTTTCTAACATACTCCGTTCACTATCGATCGCATTTAATACCCGACGCTCGATTCCGTCGGGATTACTAATTAGTTCAATTAAATTAATAACCCACTGGCGCGGCGAGGCGAATCGAAGCGGAGAAATTGCAATTTTTGCAATCACATTTTTTATTCCGAGTTAACTGGATCTGTCGATTCGTTCGTTAATTGCAGTCGATTTTTCTTTAACGAAGACTCGACCGAGGCCCTATGTTTTTTCAGTGCGCTCTAGCGTTTATAGTCTTGAGAGGTACACATATAGAGTTTAAATATGAAATATAAGTATCAATAATGTCAAATCTAATTAAAAATGTGATACATGTAAGAGTAGAGGCGTATTTTCGATCACGTTCCTTTTTTATCTTTATTGTAATTGTATATTCTCGGAATTTCCGCCTGCTTTGAGCTCAAGCGATCCTTGATTTTCGTGTGCTCGCAACGTACCTCGTCGCATCTTCGACGTCGTTATTGACTGGTTCGACGAGATACTTCCGAGAAATCCCGTCCGAGAGTACCGTTATATCCGCGTGAGCATCGAACGAGTTAATGAGCCGGCGAGAATCAAGTTACAATCGATCGTCAGTCGGAATTAAACTAAAGCACGTATTTTAATTATTGTCACGACTCCGTTTATCTTTCTCTCTCCTCCCTCCCTCTCTTTCGCCGGCAGCTATTTGCAACGTTAAGGCCGCTTAAGAGATACGATTTTAGTTCGTTGTTATTAGAGGATCCGTGACGAAACAGTACGTGCGCGTATGCCAATACACAAGGTTATTCTGAAACATTGGGTTATCAAACTCACGAAGCGTATCGTCCCAATTGATCTTTTTTTTTAGCGAAAGTATTTACCAAGTGAGCGATAGAAAAACGAGTAATTTTTCAACGTTGTGATTTTTTAATAGCAAATATTCAGAACGGAAATTATATAAACGAAACTACGTTAATTTGACTCCAAATTGCATGGTATCGTTGCCAAATTTTACTTATTTATTTTAGAGTCATTCTGCAGCTCATTAATCCAACGGATTCGAGCAGAATTTTGTTATCACTATTGTATACTGTTTACTTTTACGATAACGATCGATTTCGGTATACAAAAGAAAGAGGTACGACAATTGAATCCATACAAGTGTAAAGCTGGGAGCGCTTTTTGGTACTACGTATGAGTTATTCAATATCGTTAAATTTATTGACCGAAAAGAGAGAGACAGAGGAGAGCAGGAGAGATAGAAAAAACATGGTGCGGAAAAATTAATTGACGAAATGTTCGGTCAGATACGAGAAAAAGTCTTTGTTTCGACGTTTCGGGCTACAGAACGGTGGCCTTCGGAAAAAGAATTAGAAACTTTGATGGAATCGTGATTGGATAGAGAGAAAAAAAATCGTCAGAGGCAACATCGATCGATCGTATAAAGTTGTTTAGGCCACTGTCAATCGCCGTTGCTTGACAGTTTTCTTTTTCTTCTAAGCCGGTCAAATTGGATCAAACGTGTGTATGACGTGTGCCAGTGACACGCGAGCCGATAAACAAACCGCTACGACGCTTCTGCTGTAACAAGCTCGTCGAATGACTAATATAACGCGATTGATCCATTTCACTGATATATGTAGGTTCAATCATCTCATATTTATATATTATACTCTTATTTTCTGCAAATGTTACATTTTCAATATTGGAGATTATCGAGAAATGTTTTCGCCAAACGTACCGTGCAGAATTTGTTATCTCGATCGTAACAGTAATAATATAAAATTAGTTATATTTAAATCAAACTGTCGAATGATTAATAATATCGATAATGTGCGCGTACTATAGATTTTCTTTCGCTGCTGAATTTTCTTAGGATGACATTATCATGATCTTTAATATAGAAGTTGCAACGTAACTTTTAGAGACGTGACGATAGTATCAACTATCTTTTAGTTGTCAACTACAGAATTTCATATCAGCTCATCTATTCGAAAGACTAAAGTTCGCAAACGCTGCCCACTGTCGCAGGATAGACTTATATGATTCGCATTAATTTGTATTTTCATATTTTCTTATGTTATTGTTGAAGATAATAATTAAATGAAGCTGTGATATAATACAGTTACAAGTAAATAATTGATGAGCAAACGATAACAATGCATTTATGAATTTAATAAATGCATTGTTATCGTTCATTACCTTTGATTGCATCTAACAATTTTGTGATAAAAAGTAATTTTACCGCTCTTAATATTGCATATTCCAATTTCTGTCCTACAAATGTCTTTCGTTTCGCAGAAAGTCTAACGAAATTTTATGATGATTGCAGACCGACGCAAAGCTATGCCAACATCAAGAGCAGTAGTCCGGTATCTCCGAGGACGATAGGAACGGGAGCGACGTACGTGCAGGGTGGTGCGGCCGCGTCATCCGCGGCGGCGGCGGCCGCGGCGGCCGCTGCAACCGCAGGTGGCCCCGCCGTCGTTGCCGGTGGAGTTACCGCGACGAGTAGCAGCGGTCTGGTTGGCGTCTCGAATGTTTTATCCTCTGCAACGGGTGGCAGCGGCGGCGGCGTGAGCAATAGCGGCACAAACAACAGCAGTGCGAGCAACATCGGTAGCGGCGGCGGCGGCGGCGGCGGCGGCGGCGGTGGTGGTAGTGGCGGCGGCGGCGGCGGTGGCGGCGGCAACAGTAACAGTGGCGGCGGCGGCAGTGGCGGCGGCGGTGGTGGCGGCGGCGGCGGCAGCGGTGGCGGCGGCAGTGGCGGAGGCGGCGGCAGTGGTGGTGGTGCCGGGGGTGCCACTTCTTATGTCATGCCGATGCTCCGCTACATTCATCCTTACCCGCCGTCGACCTCGGGGTCGACGCCGGCGGTGACGGCGGTCGTCACCACCGCACCGTCGCTAACTGCACCCGTGCCTGTGCCCGTGCCTGTGCCCGTACCTGCGCCCGTACCTGCGCCCGTTTCCGCACCATCTCTCAGTCAACCTACTGTCATCACCAGCCAAACGCCGCCGCCGCCACTCATCGGGACTCCCTACGCGAGAGACACGTACCGTGCCGGCACTACGAACGTAGGTATTTCCATGACGCGGACCACATGTACATGTATATATAATATATATAGGCGCGCGCGCGATGTGCCTTCTCGCCATCTTTTCCTCGGGATCTATCAACGGTCAGAGTCCCCGATATGACGCGGTCACGGTCATGCAAATATGCCCAGGAGCAAAAAGGATTTTTCTAATGTTGCACTGACGTGCACTAAAATCGTGGAAGGAGTAGCGAGGCTCTGAAATATTATGTTCAAGAAGATTAAGAGATTGCTTTATTCGATGCCCGTTAACTTAATAATGCTTCAATATTAAGCTGAACAATCGCATGGCTAGGTCACTTTCGATCCTTTATTGAAAACTTTATTTTTGGATGTATTACAATTATATTTTTAGTCTTTCCTTTTGCGATTGGTCTTTGTATAACTTAAGATTGCTTCTGACCCAAATAATCTTTTCTGCAACATCCGAATAGAACATTTTAACTTTTCTTATTTTCAATTTAAAAGAACAAGATATAAGAATTTTTTAGACATAGTAGAGTTACTAAATATCGTGTGTCGTAAAAATTTTCCTTGATATTCAGGCCATTGTTAATATTTGGGTCAATCTAGTATAGGAATGACGGGATCAATATTAATTCATAGCATCAGACTAGACTAATTGGGACACGCATCGCGCAACGCAATCGCACGCATGCCATATCGGTCGACCCCGTCCTTGACTTTCACCGATTATCGGCCCTCTTCCTTTTTTCCTCCCTTTTAACAATATGATCCGCGCGCGTCTGATGCTTGACAGTTTTAAATACGGCATTGTTACTATTTGCTCGGACAAATGATGGACGTGATTTACGTGCCATTTGAATATGGTTTTAGAAACAAAATTAAATGAAAAGTATATATAAAGTTAAACATGTGATAGGAGATATTACGTGAGGAAGATAGATATTTAAGCAAGGATATATATTTTATAAAGTAGTCAAATTTTTAAGAAAAAGATTTTTAAAAAGATATGTTTTCCAAGATTTTTGAAAATTTTATTATTTAAGACTTTCAGAACGACGATACAATGTGTGTTTCTATTACATTACATTTAATTTTTATGGATCTTAAATCGAGTTAAATTTATGGCATAACGCAATTCTAGCGAACATTATCATATTTAGCTTGTAGCACGATGCGAGTGGGCGGGAGAAAGTTACACTCGCCTACTCAAGGTACATATATATACGCATATTATACGTGCACACGTACACAAGGACACAACCGCATCTTATATTTTGTTTCTTGTATATCGAATCGGTTATTTAGCCGCCGCAATATTATATAGTAGTTTTTTCTTTTAAATCATTATAGTCGAGATTACGAAGATAGTGCAAACTTGTCTACGCGAAACGCCCGGAATGAACTATGACGAACGAATGAACCGTCGTAACGCAAAACTACCGGCAGAAATGAAAGGAGGGAAAAAAGTTTGAACAGATGATTGCGATAGACAGAGCGTAGGGGACTGAGCAGAGCGGTCGCGTGGTATATCGGTACCGCGTGTTTTCTTGAACCGGGTCATCGATTTTCCTGAAATAGTTTCCCCGACGAGAAGGTTAGAGAGGCGCGGGAGATAAATTGAACCTCTGGCAAAGAATGAGCGAAACGACGATGAAAGGGGAGAGCAGGCAGGAAAGAGAAGGGACGGAGGAAGAAAGGGAGCATGTAGAACAGACTTTTGACCGTGATGTTTTTCTTTTCAGGTGAACGAGAGGCTCGCCATCAACGTGAGCAACAGTTCGCTGTCGCAAGTTGGTGGGGTTGGTAGTGTCGGGGTAGTGCCCGCGCCGGAGTACAGCAGTATGGGAGCCGGTGGCAGAGGCGATCGGCAGAGGATATCCCTCTTGGGCTCTATACCGTCGCCTTCCGCCGTCACCGCATCGGACTACCAGCAGCATCCGGCGGCGACGAGAAACCCGCCGCGTATAGGCCTCATGCCCGTCCAGCCTGATCAGTATTGCAGTCGCACCCCCGTCGACATGTCCAGTCTGCAGCAGGATGCGCCACCCTTCAAGAAGATCCGTCTGGGACCGCATCAGCAGGTTCAGCAGCTGCAATCGCAGCCTCAGCCGCGCTGCCTATCGCCCGCTGATCCATGTGGGGGCAAGCAAGAACAGCAGCAGCAACATGTCGTACAGTTGCAACAGCCACTTAGGATAGACACCAGGGTGGGTACAATGGACAGTCTGCTCGATAATCGAGAGACAAGAGAGAGAGTTGGTATAACCGAGGAGTCATCCATCTATTTGACGATTATAATTACGATATATGTTTTGACGATGTTCATTGCCGATAATACATGCCGAAAAATACATTAATTTTTATCATTGGTAATACAAACTACATTTTATTGTTAGTTTTAATTTGTTGTTTAGTTAGGACTATTTGATGTTTGCACAATATCATCTGTTTGCAGTGTTGAAAATCAAAACATTGAAATAATAGTATTAATTTTCGCGAAATTGTATTAAATAAATAAATCAGATTGCAGTTAATCACATTTATAGTTATGAGTATGTAAATTGAGATTAATTTACATTTTCCGAGAATAACTGTATATAAATATAAATAAATTAATGTGTAACTAAATATAGAATGATTTATAAATACATATCAATACTTTAGATTAATTGGACACTAACTAAACAAGTAAATAATAAACATAGAATGGATAATGAGAAATAATAAAATAAATAAGTCGGACATAATATGATATGATGAATTTTTGCTAGGAGCAGCCTGCTGTGGGAGCGTACACGCCGCAAACGGAAGCTATTTCGCCTACGCTTCCAGAACCGAATACGCAGGAGGATGCACAATATAGGAGTACCAAGGATGATCTCTTGCAGCAGATTGGCAAGGTCGACAGAGAGATCGCTAAGAGAGAGAATCAATTAAATATGTTGCGGAAGAGGTTAAAAGAACTGGAAGAAACGGCAAACAAGCCTTTAGAAGTAAAAGACACTGAGGAACAGTCACAGCAACCAAAGCATCAATCGATGGCGCAAAAGGTCTACGCTGAGAATAGGGTAAATTATGTAAATAGTAATTAAGTATTTTTTTACATATTGAGCGCCAAAAAAAAAACGCTTGACGCGAATTTGTATACTGCATGTGTCTCTTGCGTTTGGTGTGTGTTAAATATAAGTTAGTTTGTAGCATCAAAATATTGGTTGACTTTGATGTTTAAAGCATGGAGAAAAATAGATAATGAGAATGGAATTTTAATTTGACATATTTTTTATTCACAGAGAAAGGCAGAAGAAGCTCATAGACTTTTAGAAAGACTGGGCCCCAAAGTAGAACTACCTTTGTATAATCAACCGTCGGACACAAGCGTATACCAAGAAAATCGTACGCGGCATCAGACGTGTATGCGTGCTAGACTTATAGCTAGGCTTCGGAGGGAACATTCTGAGCGCGCGTCCCTTCATCGGCAGCAGTCGCAAACGTACGCCATTTTGGTTCAAGAGTGGCATCGCAAGGTGGAACGGCTAGAGGCAACGCAGAAGAGGAAATCGAAGGAAACAAAGAATCGCGAGTTCTTTGAGAAGGTATTCCCCGAGTTGCGAAAACAGAGGGAAGACAAGGAGCGTTTTAACAGAGTTGGTGCTCGCATCAAGAGTGAAGCCGATCTTGAAGAGATAATGGACGGTCTACAAGAACAAGAGGTATATTCCATTATTGTAGTATGTGTTTGTAACGAAACAATCGACAAAATGAGCGACGTAACGCATTATGAAAAGGAGAGGAAAAAGAATATATGGTGAAAGTAAAAAAAAGATGGTATAGGGAGAAGCAAAAGAAAGGCACGTTACTAAATTAATGTTTATTGGATAAACGTTCTTCGACAACTACAAATTTCAATAAAACAAAGAAGGGAATTTTAAACAGTCTGTAAATTAATGTATGAAATAAAACAAAGAAGGGGATTTTAAACAGTTTGTAAATTAATATATGGAAGAATTATGAGATATTTAATTTTATTGAATTAGCGACATTAAGTTACAAAATAATATAGAAATTATTTTGGCGTGCAAATCTTTATAGTCTATTTGTTAATATTTTGAGTTAATTTTTTAAATCTTTATTATGTTATGATTTTAAATCTTTATTATATTATGATTTTCTTTTTGTCATAATTTATTTTTATTTCAGCAATTGATTAATTTTTGCGAGAAAAATAATATAGTAAAATGACTAAATTTGTATAGAAGCAAATTTAACTTATGCTCTATCAAATTTCTTGATATATAAGTGTGAAATGTATACACGAGTAGTATTTTAATTACATTTTTGATAGAGCGAAGATTAGATATAGTATTTTTTATATATTTTTTGTGGATTTTGTCTCATCTCTTTCTTTATTTTCCCAAGAGCAATTCTGTGAAAGAAATCATTTCCAGATCAAAGGATTAAAGAGAGTTGATTATAAGTAAAGGATGGTAACTGACAGTTTCTTCCTATCTTTAGACATTTGTTTTCTCTCTTGGTCTTCTCGTGTACGCTGACCAGGAAAAGGATGGCAAACTGGAGATGATTGGAAGTTACCATCGGACTAATAGAGGCGCGAGATAATAAAGTTTTAATTGATTCAGATTCATGATGCTCAATAGAAGTTTTTTTTAATAAAGTATCCCTCTGCAATTGACGACATAGTATTAAATCTAGCTTTAAAAAATATTGTGATTAATATTTAATTTAATAATTTTTTAAAACATTGTTTTAAAGGTGTTCTCCATTTTTGTGTTTCTTAAGTTTTCTTTTTGATTAATTTTTGCTACACAAATTCTTACTTCATGGAAGACATCTAATTTATACTGATTCCCCAGGAAGAAACATTGCAAGATTTAAAAAATTCCATTAAAGCTCGTCAGGTTAGTAACGTGCGCTTGCTTCCTTCACCCTTACCTCATACCGTACATTAGTTATGGATCGTATTGTATGCATTGACTGCAAAAAGTACAGTTAAATCGGTAAATTAAAATTACGTTAGCATAATGTAATAAATTGAAAGAGCAACATTAGATCCATAATTATTGCTAAAAGAAATCATTCTAGTAGGATATATTTAAATTACATAAATTTATTATATACAAAGATATTAAAATCTATGTTTTATCTTAAATAAAACATCATTTACATACATATACTAACATGTTTTATCAATATACAGCCAACTTACTTTAATGATATTTTTTTATATGAAACTATTCGAAACTTAATAAAAAAAAAGGCAATGGGTTATGGATGTACATTGATAAAGAATATCTTTTAATTAAAATAATAATGTTACAAAGAAATAAATAATATATTGAAAACGATATTATCTCTGACAGATGGAGGATAAGAAAATGCGTTCGTATGCAGTCATACCACCTCTATTGTTGGACGCGAAGCAACGAAGGATCGCGTTTCAAAATCGGAATGGATTACTTCAGCCAGAGGAATTAGAAGCTCTACATAGTGAACGTAAATTGATTAATGTATGGAGTTCGGTGGAACACGAATTATTCAAGGAAAAATATCTTCAGCACCCTAAGAACTATGGAGTGATAGCTCAATCGTTAGAACATAAGTCCGTTCCAGATTGTGTACATCACTACTACCTCACTAAGAAAGCAGAAAATTATAAACAGCTTCTACGAAAATCGCGCCAACGGACACGTAGCTCTCGGAATAATCCGAATAATAAAGTAAGTGCGATATTAATCATCCATAATATGTATAAAACGCGTCAATTATCTCTTAAAATTATAATTGTTTTCTATATTTCTATATTAATATATTAAACTGAAAAGTTAAGTTGTTTGCGCGCGCACCCACGCACACCAACGCACACCCACGACCGAAGTACATACTGTATTTGTACAATCATACGGGAATAGAAATTAGAAATTAGCATCTAATAAGGAGAAAATATTAAGTTTTTAATAGTTGATGTCATGTGAGATAAATGGTTCTCTTGTAATTGTTCCAGGTAAATAATGCCAGTTCGACTATTGGACCTATAGATATTTTAACGACAGGCGTAACGACAAGGTTACAGCGGGAGCAGCAACAGAAGACTCAGGAAAATCCTCAGAATAGTTCGGCAACGTCTACATCTACAACGAGCACCACGGTCACATCGAGCGTATCGTCGACAACTGTCGCGAGCACGACAGTAACGACGACGACGACTCCCTTGAGCTCGATAGCGTCGGGCGTTAGCGTAACGGATTCTGTAACGGCATCAACGACAACGACAACGACATCTGTCCTGAACACCACCGCGACGTCGAGCAGCATCTCGACGACGTCGACGACATCCAGCGTGAAGGATTCCAGGGAGTCTGGCAAGGAGAATAAAGAGAATAAGGTCGATCCGAAGGAATCTCATCTTATAAAAGTAGAACCGAAAGAAGAACCGCTATCGGACGCATCGGGGAAGGACGTTAAAGTAATGTACGTGTGACTTTTTTTAATCTACATTTTAATTAAACTTCATGCAATTTCGTCTTACGGAATTAAGTACTCGAAGTTTTTTTTGTACGTATGTATAGTTAATTATATGATTATTAGATTTTTGAATTATTGAGATAGAACGTTTCTCAGAATGCATTTTAGTGTGTATAAAAACGTTGGTAAATATCGTGTTCTTTATTTTTTTTTTTCGTCAAATGTTCACGATATTAATCATTTTCGATACGGGAATAAGAAATAAAAAAATTGGTGCGGCTCATTTTGCGAAACGCACATACCAATTGGTCCCGATTTTGATCTATATAAAAGCGTGTACGCGGACTGATTGAATGAACCGTATCCATCGGCCGGAAGATATTCATTCCGCAAACATACCCCACTCCAACGAACCAATCTCAATATTGTCCACGGTGGGAGAGGCGACCCGCGAATACCCATTTAACGATTACAATACGCTGCTCAGCGGCGCACGGATATTACAAAAACGCGGGCAAAAAGAAGCTTAATCTGCTTTTTTTTTTCGGCGGCGCTGTACTAATAGAGATAAGTTTTACTTATCGATGGTGATCGCGCGTTGGCCGCGAATGAAGGAGCAAGTTGTTGAAGGGTGGAAAGCGGCTTCGGGGGTTGACGGGAATACGCCAGGAGTGACGGGGCGGAGTGATACGGCGGTGGTGGCGGCTTGAGAAGGGTGGGGGGAGGGGAGATCAATTATTAGCAGATTGTAATGCTAATCAATGGTTACCGGTTAGTGGATTATGTTTACGTAGGCTCTCATCATCGTAATTGACTCGATCGTTGGAAATGTGATTCTGCCCAATGAGAATGCCGAGTGTCGAATTCCCCGCTGTTTCTTAAGCCACATATACACAATCAGCAAAATTTTATCGAGAAAAATATTTTTTTTTATCATGACGAAAACCTGACGTTTCATTTTTCGAAAAGTAGAAATACGATTGAAACAGGTTGTTTAATGGATTATCGTTTAACACGAGCGCGTGCAAAGTTTGCTTTTATATTTCATGAGGTTCGTGTTTGTTTAAGCAAATCCAATTTATGTGCGTTGATATTGTTACAGAGTGGAAGGGAAAGGTGCGCTATCATCGTCCGTGTCTTCGTTAAACAACGCGACGAACGTTTCGACCATCCAGACAGACTTCAAGGAATCCAGTAAAAAGAAACCGGGTTGCAGGGACACGAGCAGCAGTGGCGCTAATGTGGCAGCTAGTGGTAGAATAAAAGATAAGAAGAAAGAGAATCACATGGAGACCAGTGACGAGGAAGCGCCGGCGATCGACGTCATCGGTAAGTTTGAAATTAATTGATATTTTGTATCTTTGTTTTGACAATTGGATTTGTTCCGAATTGGAGTCTTGATCCAGACATTTCGATTTCTGCACGTGCTTTCCAAATATATGCATTAATACGTAATTACAATTTGCTCATTTATATCTTTTATATAAATGCATTAATAATTAGATTAATAACGTTAAAAAATTGAAGTTATTCGATCGACTTCAACCATTCTAAATTATTCTGTATCTTCAAAGGTTAATTTAATATATCCGAAATAATATATCTTTAATTATCATATTTATTCCATTATCGATGTACTTCCGGAAAAGCATTTATTTCATTATGTCGCTTTTGCGATGGAAACGGTAGGATATTTAATAATATAATCTCACGCGTCTCTGGTTTATTTTTGTGAATTTAAAGAATATAATTATTATTTTCCGATATAATGGTATATCGTATTCATACTGTTCGATTGTACTTAAATTTAAAAAATCGATATATATATATATATATATATATATATATATATATATATCCTGTTCCAATAAGATATATATATATCTTATTGAAACATAGAACTTATCTATACCAGACTTAAATTTTGTTTTACATAAGACGAATGAAATATAGCAATAACGTTTAATTTACGTTTAATTTTAAATTTAACGTTGAGATACAATTTGTATACGAGCAGTATACAGTTTTATTTTACATAGAGAAACTAGCACTCCTTTTTATTTATCACTATAGCTTTTCTTACAATTAAACTGTTATATGTATTGAAGATTTGATTATATTTACGTAACTACGTCGTATAGACTTTTATCTTTTTTTGTACAATTTCTTGGTGCACGAAATATATGCCAAGACGTTGTGATGTATGTAACATCAAGATATGTATAATGATAAAGAATACACATAAAGGGTGAAACGCGATTGGATGATATCTATTAAATGTAAATTGGATGTTATCTGAATCTTGTTCAACACATAGGATATTTGTCTTTTAATGATTTACACATTTCGGAGGTAACGCAAGAACGCATTTAATTCGAAATATTAAACGTAACGTTCAGCATATTACATTCTACGATAGTTCGATTTGATTACCGATTTTAACTTGCAATTAAATATTTGACACACGCGCAAATATCGATAGGTACTTTGAGTTCCTTCTGTAAAGTGTCTTCGATCTTGTTCTCGGGTGGGAAATCTTCTTTCGTTGGGCGTTCACGTTGAGAACAGATAAGGGAAAAATCTGCAAGTATTAGAAATTGCATATTAGAACAAAATAATACTTCTTCTTGTCACTTAAAGACAAAAAAGGAGTGTGTTATCTCAATATGTACCTAGTGAGAAAGGGAGAAAGGGAGTCGTGTCTTTTCGTTTCACGGAACATCCTGGATGGGCGACACGTCCGCGTCACGACTCGATGCATTCGCGGCTCCATCCGTGGCGCCTTGCCTCTCCTCGTCGTTCGCGTGGCAGAGCTTCCGGTGCTTGTGCACGAAGTAGTAACTGGGGAACTTGCAGCCGCAGATCTTGCAGGGATAGTACTGCACATTCAAATCCAGCAATCTGACCTCTCGTCTGCCTCCGCGCGCGGCATCCTGCCGCGGCCCGTGATTAACGCTATCCCCGGCACCTCCGTCGTCGTCACCGCCGCTGCCGCCGCCGCCGCCGCCGCCGCCGCCGCCACCGCTACCACCGCCACCACCGCCACCACCGCCGCCAACTGTTTCGTTGATCCTCGTCGGCAATAAATGCCGCTTGGCATGCTTCCTGTAGCAATATTGCGACTTGAAGGTGTGTTTGCAGTAGCCGCAGGTGTAACAGCCGCCGTTGTTGCTGCCATCGTTGCTCGAGTCGTTACTGGGACTGCGTGCGTGGCTTCCTCCTGCTCCTCCTCCTCGCGTTGCCGGTCCGCCGTTCTCGTCGTTCTCACTTGACAGATCCTCGCCTTCCGTCAACTGGCAATTTCTCAGCGGACGTGTCGATGCACCGTGCGGCCCGTGCGACGTCGTCGACGAGTAGTTTTCGTTCAAAACACGGTGAAAGCGCACCGGTCCATCGCAACACGCGATGTCGTACACCACGGAAAAGACGGTGCTGCTCGTGGTAGAAGCCTCCTTCGCGCTCGACATTCGAGCTCGGCGACGAGACGAACGTGCTCGGTCGTGCTCCGACGCGGTATCCCCGTTGTCGTTGCTGTCGTTGCTACTGTTGCCACGGTTGCGATTCGGTACTCTGCTGTCGGATGCTGCGGTACGCGATTTATTTAGTTGATCGTTAGACGATCGGCCGGAACGATCCTCGATCTCTTCTCCTCGTTGAGCCTCGCGTTCCGTCGATCTGTCGCTGTTGTGATGCATGGGCGAATGTGTCCGCGACACGGAGGACAGAGCTGGTGAGATCGAGCGCGACGGCGACGGTGCTCTCGTCGTAGAACTCGGCGTGCTGCTCGTCACGGCGAACGCGGTGAACGCAGCTGCGGCTGCGGCCACGAACGGTAGGGTGGACACGGTAGACACGATCTCTGGTGTTCTTGATCTGCTGGAATGCAACCTTGGGCGTTTGCGCGCCGCAGTCGGCGAAGACTGTGGCGACTTTGACATCTCGCCGGCGCTGCGAACATTCATATGATTTTCCATGAAGCTTAAATTATTCTTTAAAGATTCTTTAAAAGAAATTATTGTCATTATTATATTTATTATTTTGATTACATCATATTATTTAGAGACGAACAGTGTGAATGCACTTGCGTCGAATTGTGCCACTTTCCTGCCGAGATCGAATTTATTTAAATGTACAATTTATGTCCGCACTGCAAAAATGTGTTATAATTTTTCTTTGGCTTTAAAAAATGTTGAGACATATAATTAAACGGGATAAAAATTGAAAATCTAAAAAAAAATTCAATAAATGTTTAAATTCTCTTTTCCGAATAAATAATAAGAGTTTCACTGTTGCCTTGCGTAAATAAAAATTTACATAAGCACGTCATAATAATATTAATAATGCGAATAAGATTAATAAACCTTATTGGATTAATTTCTTGTTGCTAGAGATCTTCTAGAGATATAATTCTTTTTTATATTTTAACATGGTATAATATAAAAACATAGAAAGATCCACACACTGCGAACCTATAATGCGCGCACTGTTCCTGCTTCTCTCGCGGCCCGACGATGCTGATTCCGGGTGGTACGGTCGGTTGCATCAGCGGTTGTATCGACGGCGGTAGATGCGACATGGCAGTCGGTGCCGGCGCGGCCGGAGGGTACGCGAGCGGGGTCGTCGGGGGCCAACAGAGTGGTGGACCTACTATCAGCCTGCTCGGTATGGGCCGTAGGATACTACCGGTGGTGCCCGGCGGCGATCCGGTTGTTGACGCGGACGTCGGCATCGGCGGCGTCGGCAGAGATGGCGGTGCCCGCAGCCTCAATAGCGCGGCTCTGCACTGCTCCAATGCACCCGGCATATGCAACAAATGTGTCGCAAGTAGCACGCTATAAACGTTGTCCAGCGTCACCTCCAGCCGTCCGGTGTACATATAGTTGAGCAACGGCGCGAATGCCTCTCCACCTATAGGTCAGTTGAAAGTCGGAATATGTTAATGTGAGTTGATGATTAGATACTCTTGTTTCTGTTTATCTTGATGTAAGATAAAAAAATTCCACGCTAATGAGACTTTTTAAATGATGGTAGTTTTCTAAATAAAGTATTTAGTCTGCTATAAGAGAAATAATCTGATTTGGTACTCGCATAATTTTCTACTCCACACGAATACTTAAGCATTAGTAATTGTGTTGGAAAGGTATTTCTGTTTGCAACTGGGAATTGATTCACAAGTGGTGAATTAAATTGAGATGCGCTATAGATTGCTTTTGGAATCATGATTTTTATTGACGTAATTGTTTGATGAATCGAATTATTTTATTAGAGAACGTTTGCGATACGGACGGAAAACGTTTTGTTTGCAAACACTACAAAAATGGACTTATGCCACTTGCGAGCCAAGCGATTCAATTATTGGATTGAATTGGATTGAATTGGGTAACTATTGGAAAATCCCAATGAGAGATTGGAAGTAACAATAGCATCACTGCGCGACCGCTGGAAGTTTGTTAATTATTCCGTCTCGCTGTTGGCTTATTGTTATTATTTGAAAGTAGTTCGGGAAATATCGCATTTTGTTGTGTCGCGACAAAAAGCCGGAAAAGAGCAGAAAATATTAATATGAATAGATAATTCTTTTGAAATTTTAGTTTTACATTAAATACTTTTACAAAAATAATATATAATTAATCTTTAAATACTCTAGCGATTTATCTCAAATAAATTTTCTCTTACAAATAGATTTATAAACATTGAGATATTTAATAGTATTAAGCAAAATCTTTTCGTTAAACTCTGAAGATGAGGCAATCGCTATATATCGTTAGAGTGATCTTTAATTTGTGATCTATATTTACCGATGGACGAAACCGACACGGAGGTGACCGGTCGCTGTGATTGCCCGTTGGTCGCCGTGACGGCGACGGTCGCGCAAGTAGGATCGAAGTTCGACGATGTCGTCGTCGCCGCCGCGCTCGCCAGCAGGGCCTTCAGGTATCCACTGTGAGCCGCGAGCACACCCTTGTGCGCGACAAACTGGTGCTCGCCTTCGTTGCCGACTCGCACCACCGTGTCGGGCGGCGAGAACGTGTCCTGAAGACAGGGGTAGCTGGTACCGGTGGTACCGCCACCGAACCACGCTCTGTATAAACCATACATTGTCGTTGTAACTTCTTGTAGCTCCAACACTTATAAATCCCTGTTAAGAATCCTTTTGGCTCGAAGTTTTTATGGACGTTTAAATCAGCGTCTTAACGTCGTTCGTGGCGCGGGGAGGAATTGCAAGTGGATAGGAGATTTGCGATTAGGACGCTGTAAGCACTGATTGCTTCGTAGGCAATTGATGTCGACGTCATCGTTATTATTATTATTCTCGCAAAATTCACAAGACAAAGTTATAGTTCCTTTATATTTTTCCTCGCTGTTGAACACTTCTTTCTAAGCTTCAATAACTCCAGATCCTTTCTCAGATTGAATCTCTCGAAAATCGTGTCGCGACAATGCGGAAGTCACCGGTCGAATTTTCTCATGCGAAATCAGCGCGTATACAAGTCGGTCAAGATGCCACGATCTTGAATTCGATGCGGTACCATTCGCGCGAGCACTCTTGACACGGACCGATCTCGCGGCTCTTCGTGATTTGAACGCCGGAACGCCGGCTGGCGGGCGCATCATCGTCGCACTGTTTATCAGCTGCGCGTAGACGCGCTTGGCTTTTTCGAGCTGAGCTTCTACTACCACCTACGCCGCCCCGCGTAGGGTTGGCTCAACCCCCTTCGGAACGGCCGAGAACCGCCCCCAACGAGCGCAGATTGGCGGCGTACGTCGCGCTCACGGGCGAGTTGCACCTGCGCCCGAAGGATCAGTCTTCTCGCACCGCGATACCACAGGATGCGCTCCTGATCGCGCCCTCGTTTCGCGCACGATACACGAGAGATGTAAAGAATTCGCAGACTTTGAAAGATTCTATCGCATCTCGTTAGAAGGACTGACGATAATTAATCTTTTACAATTGAGCGTCGTTTATCCCACGATTAATTCTCCGTCGAGACCAAAGCCAAAAATTAGATGACAATTATTGTACAAATAAATTACGGCCCCTCCCTCCCCCTCCGTGCACGATCGAAAATTTTTGCGACAAACGTGAGCAAGACTCGATATCTATAATGGCGTGTAAAGACAGTGGCACGATTGTAAAACACGCTATTACGAAGGATCTGTACATAGATAATACGTCGCGATATGAACGCGCGTAGGTATCGTCCCGATTCAGGGTCCAACTATGCCATTATATCACGCTACGTTATAATTACGAGGCTTGAGATAATAACACGTTAACTTTACATGTTGAAAATCATATGAGAATCTTGGAACTTGGATGCTATTTCTCGTCAATGTTGCGCGGACGAATATTAATTGATTGAATGTTAATGGATATTAATAAGAATATTAGGATATTAATAATTGGACAAATATTAATTGATTGCGTACGAAGATTGTATTGGAAGAAGAGCTCGCGATAATAGAAATACCACACTCGAAATATTACATTGTCCAGATAATCGTCCAGTTAAATCTCTCGGTTTTCAATCGACGAATTCATCGGTTCTTAAATTAAAAATGAGCTTAAAATCTACAAATTCTCTCGAAGAAGAAAAATAGTATTTGTAGTATTGTGATCGAGCAATATAATTGATTGTTCTTAAAATTAAAAGAAATATGTAGAGAACGAATCGTCCTTGTGCGGCGAGAAGTATCATCGCAATTGTGACATTTACGGCTTTTACGCGATAAATACGCCGGCTTATTTGTCGGCTTCAAATGAGACGTTAAACGCGACGTGATGCAAACGCGAGCGATAGGAAAAGACGAATAAAGAGAAGAGGAGAACAGATACGTCTTTCGAGAGCCGACTTGATAATGAGAGAAGAGGAGCGCTTTCGCCTTCCGGAGAGCGATCTTTCGCCGCGAGATGCGTCTTTTGCCGGTCTCTTCCTTTCTCTCTCTTTCTCCTTTTTTCATTCTCTCTCTCTCTCTCTCTCTCTCTCTTTCTCTCTCTCGCTCCGAGACCCTCTTGCCCGCGCCTGGCCTGGCCTCTGATGTTTTTCATCAAATTAACTCTCGCAGCATGAGAGAGTACGCGCTTCTCTTCACTCCGCGGCGCCGTGTTTGCATAATATCGTTTATAATTCAGCTCGCGCTGAATTCCACTTTATTCCGAAGCCACGATCGTTCGCTCCGGCCCTCTTCTTCGTTCTTTCCTCGTATACTCTCCAACCCGGGGAAGGCACCCTACTCTCTACCTCTCGCGCGCGCGTTGGGTGCTCGGTACCGCCACGAGACCACCTTCGCTACTTGCCCTCTCCCTAGTCCTCATCTTGTCAGCGGTTTCGGTTTTCATTTACGCGAGGAAGTCGAGCGATATTTGTTCCGTTTATTTTTTTATTTCTTTGGCAGGAAAATTGAAAATTGAAAACTGACAGTTACATGACAGAATTACCAGTGTGATTAGTGACCGTACTTTTTTCGAGATAAAACGGAGGGAGAAATCTAACAGTAAGACTAGCACGTTTTTCATTCCACATGTAAAATTATTTGTCCGAGTTTATGCTAACACGCGGTCGCATAAAAAAAAAACACATTTCTTTTATTCTATCGTTCATCTGCAGTGATCAGCTAATCAGCCAATTCAGTCGCCGATTTTTCGCGATACGTTCATAAACAAGTCCAATCGTCATCGGCGAGAATCCGAGGGTCCAGAATGGAGACTCGGCGATTACGCGCATTTCCCAAGAGGCCGTCGTTCCAAACCAGAGCTAACAGAGGCAACACCCCTCCTCGCTTTCCGCCCGTCTGGTTGTCGTGTCGTCCCCCTACCGCAACATCGCGCATCGTCGCGATCAGCGAGTATCGTTGAGATTGTTGCAACAACAATCAAACAATGTGGAATACAATAGACGAGTATCTTGAGAGAAGAAAAAGTTTCCTGACAAGAACGTGTCGCGTGAATACTTTTCTCGCAGATATCTTCGCATAAAGTGCTTATAATAGGAAGCGTAATAAAATAATAATAATATAAAAATAGTATAAACAGCAAAGTTATGAAAATGCCTTCAAAATAATTCGAAAATAGTACAACAATAATATATATTATTCGCATTGGGAATATTTCTAAAAGATACGTTTTTGTTTAATTGGCTCGCGTTCGCCATTATCAACGATCACTTTAATCGGGAAAATGGGAATTCGCGCGTATAGGGCCCCGGGACTCTCCGTACCGGAAATAATCGAGGGCGGTAGAAGAGTACACATAGGCGAAGAGGGGATCTTCGCTCCCGGGATCGTCTCTCGAGAAGACGAAAGAACGCTCGCGGTTTAATGCTTCCAACGTCGGTCGAGACAAGCTAAGCAAACACTTTTCGCGATATTACCAGGCCCTGTGCGCGGACTTACCGCATGTTCTCCGCCGCGTTTCCGCAGGAGCTCTCTCGAACCCTCTCTCTCCCACTTCTCCTCTGGTTTTCTCATCTTCCTCATCCTCCGGGCTCTTCGTGTTCTCCTACATAAGGAAATAAGTCACTGTTTTGCTTTATTTATTTATTTGTTACTCTCTACGTTCTCTTGTCAAGAACATCTGACAATTTTCTGACAAACGATATAATTAATTGTACTGTGTATGGGAATATGTTACATATTAATTGACATCAAACTATTTTAAGCATAAACTTTTTTTTTAATGCCACATTTATGCGCATATTTAATTAAATAAAGGAAAGTCTGTTGCGAACAGAATCGCGAGATCGAAATTATTAATCATAATTATTGTATCACTATGTGAGAGTATTTTCTTCAAGATCAGTAATGTCATTGCAATATGCTTTTTGCCTGAAAACTGGGATACATTTTCTGGGATATGAATTAATAAAAATACTTTAGTTGAAATGTTAAATTTATTTACTTTGCTAAATAAACTTATTTTCAACTGAATAATTTTTTGATAGATTTTTCCAATGAGGTAACATAGGAGTATATATGGAAGCATTCTATTTTAGTAGGAAAAATTGATGAAAATATCGCAAATACGATCTCAGCAGTTTGTTTACAGATACATAAAAGTATACCATTTTCTAGGAAAATATATTATTTTGTTTAGAGAAAGAATATTTAAGTAAAGTTTAGAAGAAAATAATTATCATTAATTTTCAAATATTGATGTCTACAAAATATTAATTACATTTTTAATTAATTAAATTTTTCTACACTGTTTATTTCTTTACGAAATAAATGATTTAAAGTTTTTTCTTTTTTTTTTCTATTTGAAATCCAGCAATATTATCAGAATCCTTGGCTTAATACGCGGAGGCACGCGAGAAAGTGATAATTCGACACGTAAATAAACGGCAGGGATACTTGCTCCTAGATCACATGCGTCATAATCGCAGAGTAGTCATAGCAAATTGCTGGGAAAATTATAAATGCTCGGGGATTCGTTCGTCATACCGGTCAGCGGGTGGTGGTAGCGATGAGAACACAGGGGGGAGGTAAGGGAGGTGAACGGGGGTGAAAACCCGCGCGCGCGTACCTGGCACGAGCTAATTAGCGTCTTGATTTACTTAATCCCAATTAATGCCTCCGCTATGCCGTGCCTCTCCTCCCCTCTCCTCCCCCCCCCCTCTCTCTCTC